TAACGAAAAACAGATGAATCCCCAAATTAGTCACAGCTTCATGCTTTCCCACTCCAACATCCTTGGTTTAAAATGCTCGGCGAGGACGCAGCCGCGGGGAGGCTGCGCTGGCACTGTGGGGTCCCGCTGCTGCCGGCACAGCGCCCGGGTGCTGCTGCTTTGGGTGCTGCTGCTTTGGGTGCTGTTGCTTGGGTGCTGCTGCCCTGGCTGCACCCACCTGCAGGCAGGACCCCGCAGTGGGGCTGAACCCTGCGGTGCCCCACGAGCCCCAAGCATTTCCCACCCCGTGCGGGTTTCCCGGCACTGGAACCTCTTGGTCCTGTCCCCATGCCCCAGCCCTGAGTCACAGCTGATTCCTCCCAGCCCCTTGCACCATGCAACAGGACCCGGGGACCCGGGGACCCGATGCCACCGATTGCCAGCAGCCCCCTCCTCGCCGTTTCTCCCCGTGCGCCCACCCTGCTCACAACAGGGCCCCAAAGCTCTCCGCGTGCTGCGCTCGGGGTCTGCCTGACCCCGCTGCGGCGCCGGGGGCCACTCTGGCGGGCGAAGCCTGCGGGCTGCTCTCATTTTTTTCGGGCCTCCTCACGCACACACGCACTTGGGAAGGGGCCATTTCCTGCAGCGCCGACTTAGTCATTCTTTGAGGTTCTTCCCACCCAGCCCGTGCCAGCCGCTCTCAGCAGCGATTTCCCCGCCGGGGAGCACGGGGGAGCTGGGCACCTCCACGGCCCTGGGGAGGGACAGGGAATGGGCTCAGCAGGGCACGGGTGGGCACGGAGGATGGGGATGAACCCAAATGGGGCAGCGAGGGCACCAGGAGCCGCTGCTGGCTTCACCCTGCTGGCTTGGACTCTTTGCTGCTCCAACCCTGGCTGTGCAGGAGGAAGATGCCGGAGGACAGCATGTCCCGGGCACAGAACAGCTCTCAGGCCTCCAGATTTAACTAAATTGGGCCATAAATCACCCTCTGGGGAGCAGGGGGGGTACACTCAGTGCTGCCAAAGATGGGGTAGCCGCTGGGAGCAGCCTGGTGGCCCAGGGCATGGCTGTCCCCAGGGACCGGAGCCTGACGCCGCGGGGTCGGTGCTGGGAGCCGCCTGGGTTTATTTCTGCTGTGGCCTCTCCGGGAGCCACATCCTGCCGGCCACCACGGCTGGGAGACGTGCAGGAAGATCTGCTTGGAGGCAAAACCCCGGGGGTGGACAGGGGATGGAGGCCATGAGCTGCTGGTGGAGAGCAGGGGATGGAGCTGGGAGCACGGAGCTGCCGTGCGGGGAGGAGAGCGGGGGGCACCGCCTGGTGCAGCGCCGCAGGCTGGGCCCTGGGGTGCCTCGGAGGAGCTGCTGCAATGGAATACCTGGAAGGGCATTTGGTCCGAGGGGGAATTTCCACAGGAAACCTCTGCTTTCATCCTCCCAGATACGGCTGAAAGCAACCCTAGCGAACCCTTGGGCTCAGCAGCCAGGAAGCATCGAAGCCCGGGCAGGAGCTCTTTGTTCCCTCGCATCGTTCATCCAGCTGGGGAAAAAAAAAAAACACAAACCAAACCAAAACAAACAACAAACAGCCAGCTTTCTGCTCACGGAAAAACACGGAGAAACAACAGGCAGCGCGGGGGCCGCAACGCCACCAGGAGCCCTCCACCAGCCCCATAAATGCTGCTGCACTCAGGGGTCCCGTTCAGCACCCCCGGCCCAGCCGGCACCGAGGGCAGGAGCATCTGGCCGGGGGTGTCGGGAGCGGGGGCTCAGCGGGAGCACTCGGCCCCCTCCTCGCCCCGGTGCCGCCGCGCATCCCCGCGCTCCCCAGGTTGCCACAGAAACGGCTCCGGCTCGGCCGGCTCCTGCCATAAATACGCCACCGCCACGGGTCAGCCCGGTTCAGCACCGCCAACCCAGCCCACGGCGAGGCCTCGTGGAGCTGGGGGTGCCCGGTGTGGGGTGCACCCGGTGTGGGGTGCACCCGGTGTGGGATGCACCCGGTGCGGGATGCACCCGGGCTGAACACGGTTGGGTTCAGGCCAGGCTGCAGGAACGGGAACCGGGGCCGAGGCGGAAGCAAGAAAAGCAGCAAAAAGCAGGAACCCGAAAGCAAGAGCAGCCCCGAGTCCCCATCCTCCCCCCTCTCTGGGGACCCAGCGCTGCCCCTGCAGTGGCTGGATCTGGAGGAGCAGCGCGGGGACAAGCCAAGGTCCCACTCACCCTCGTGGCGCAGCGGGATGGGGACGGGGACACAGCCCACGGGACCGGCACCTGCACTGGGGGGGCCACGGTGGGAGCCCGGGGTGGGCAAAGCTCTGGGAGCAGCTCAGGGGTCCCCCATGCTCAGGGAGCAGCTCGCAGCCCCCTCGCCCCACGGACGGGCGCGCAGAGGGACGGCCACATGCGGTGGCACTCGGGGACCGCGCTGCGCCCAGCTCTGACCTCTGGCACAGCTGGCAGCGGGCGCCGCCGCCGCCGAGACCTTGCTTGGCTCTGCTCTGCTGCGTATTAAAGTTTGAGCGTGATGCAATGTTTGCCTGTTGCTTTAGGAGGCTGAGGAGGAGGCAGGGATGGCGCTTGGCTCGGCCAGCCGCGGCTCGTGCTCGGCAGCTCAGCACAAAGCCGCCCTTGTGCCTCGAGCTGGCGGCGAGGAGGGAGCTCGGACGGGCAGCCCCCTGCCCACTCCGGGTTTCCCCTCGATGGGCGACGGAGAAAAAGGATGGAGGAGGTGGCAGAGCCTCTCCCCCTTCGCAGGGCAGCAGGTACGGAGCGTTTTGCTCACGCAGAAACCTCGCCGAGCTCGGCAGGGCTGCAGGCTCCGGGACGGGCACAGGCAGCGCAAGCTTTGGAGAGGGGCTTGGGGGGCGCAGGAGGATGGGGGGAGCTGGGTCCAAACTCTGAGCTGTGCACAGAGCCAGGGGCAAATGTCCCTGTGTCCCTCGGGCACACGGTGCCCCATGCCAGGGAGGAGCGAGGTGCCCGGAGGAGCTGCTCCTCAGCCCGCTGGAGGTGCCCCGGGCTTTGCAATCCAAACCTGAAGCATTTTGGAAACCCCAACGGCACCCCAGGGGTATGGGGACGGGGTCCCCTAGGAGGCCAGCTCCATCGGCCGGAGGAGCAGGAACCCCGCTGGGGCAGCTGCCCCGGGGGCCAGGCTGGGCGAGGGGCAGGCTCGTGGTTTTCCTGCCTCATTGGAGCCGCCGGGGTCATTGCAACAGCAGTCAGGGAGCGGAGGCGCACGGCCCAGAGGCCCTGCACGTGCCCTTCTGCTCGCTCCGGGCTCACGCAGGAGCTGGGCAACCCCCGGGCAGTGCTGCAGAGGGCACGCAGTGGCGCTGGCAGCTGGCACCCCAAAACAGCCCCCAAGCCTCCTCCAGTATGGGGTGCGCACAGAAATGCCTTTGGGGTGCAGGGAGGGGATGCAGCGTCCCCCTAAAAACAGCCCTATCGCCCCGATGTCTCCGCCACGCGGTGCTGCCCGCAAGTTTGAGCTTGTAAAAAACAGCCTGGGGATGGCAAAGAGCACGGGGACAGGCAGTGATGGCACCTGCAAGGGCACCCCAAATCCCGGTCCCCACCCCCCAGCACGATGGGGACCTCCTGGAGCACGGCGGAGGCTCGGCTGCAGCCGGGACCCCGCTGGGAGCTGCCGGCCCCGCTGTGCCCACGGCCGCTTGCTGCAGGGCTGCCCTGGCAGGTGGCCACCCGTCCCCATGGGGCCACCCCTGTCCCTGTCACGCGAGCGTCTGCAGCCCAAGCAGCTTATCCGCATTTGGAAACCCCTAATCCCTCGTTCGACCCAGACGCCGGCCCCGCTCCCTCCCCGCTGCGTGGCCAGGGGCCGGAGGGGAGCAAAGCCGCTCCAGTGACCTCAATTCGGAGCCACAAACAACCCCACACCCTACAGCCCGCCCCAATGCTCCCAGGGGACAGAGCCTATCCCTGACCAAAGCCCCGGGGTGGTTTTGGGGACCGGGCTGACCCTAAGGTGAAAAGAGCCCCCTCCGAGCTGAGTTTTGCCGGGTGCTCCCCAAAACCCAAGCCCTGGGGCTGCAGCAAGCCCTGCCAGACCCCAAATCTCACATTTCGTGGTGGCTCTGTGCTGCCACGGCCCCGTCCTGTTCCTCTCCTGGGGTCCAGCCCCGTGGCAGAGCAGGTTGAGGCAGGGATGCAGCGGGGCGCGTGGGCACACGGAGATAAGGGAGCTCTTATCTGCTGCGGGGTGGGAGGGGACGCCACGTTCCTGACCCCCCAACGGTTGGGGCGAGCCTGGGGTTTGCATATCGGGGAGAAAATTCCCTCTTCTGGGGTTTTCCGCCCCATCCGGCAGCTGGGAACAGAGGGGCTGGGTGGTGCAATCCCATAAGGGCCAGCTGGGCTGCACCGGGTGCCAGGAATGGGCTCTGGGACCCCAAAGCAGGGGGCTGCACGGTGACATGAAGGGACGAGGGGGTCCCCAGGGGCGCACAGTGGGGTTCATGGGAGTGGGATGCTGCGGGGGGCTGGCAGCTCCAGGGCCCCTCCAGGGAGCGCAGGGCAGAGGGGATGGGGGGATTTGAGCGTGACCTGCATGAAAATCCCCTGCTAATCCTGCCCCGACGGAGCACTAATCTCTCCCTCTCGGCCCCACATCCATCCTGCTGCTGCCTCCACCCTCCTGCTCCCTGCTCCATGGAGATGCAGCAGCTCCGGGGTAAAGCCCTGCAGGAGACTGGGGGGGCTCAGCCCAGTCCTACAAAGCCCTGGCCCCATAAATTCCCCCCCCTCAGGGCTGCAGCTCCCCGGCGCAGGAGCGCTCGCTGCAGGCTCCGGCACCTCCCCACGAGAGGGCAGGGCAGGCCCATGCTGCAGCCCTGCAGGGCCCCAATGCAGCTACTTTGGGCTAAAAACCCTGCAAAAAGGGGCAAGGGGGGGGGCCCAACCTCATCCCTCCACCCGCAGCCTCCCCGCCAGCGCTGTGCCCACCCTGGGAAGCACCCCAAGGCCTGCGGGTTCCCAGCTGCACGGGACAGGAGGTCGCTTGAGAGCCTTTTATTTTGGAGAAAGTTCAAGCCTGTAGATACAGCAATACAATATACAAAAAAATAAAATTTTTTACAGTATTGAAAGTTGCCCGGGGCTACGGTGACTGCGCCAGCAACAGGGGGACAAGCGACCGGCATCCCCCTCATCCCCTCTGAGCACCCACCGACTCCAAAGGGCCCCCGTCCTGCCCAAGGGTGGCCACGACCGACCCCGCAGCCCTTTTCCCCTTTCCCGGGGCACGGGACGGATCCTGCCCTGCCCACGACGCTGCCCTCTGGCTCCCTGCCTGATCCTGACCAGGCATGCCCCGGCAGAATGGGGTATAAAAGCTGGAGCCGTGCCCCGAAGCCACCAGAGCTCCCCCAGCCCCACAGCGTGGCCACTGGATACCAGCCAGGTGGGCATCTCTCCCCCTACAGAACCAAGACCTGCACACCCCCTCGTGCTGCCCCCAGTAAGACATCTCTGCTGGTACCAGCACCTCTCGGGTCCCACCGCTCTGCCCCATAGTGCACGCACCCCCCCCCGTGCCACCCCACAGCCCCTGGTGCCGCAAGGGGCTCCCAGCTGCTCTCTGGGGGGGGGTCAGCAGCTCTCAATCTGCTTCTCCCCCCCCTTTCCTTGCCCCCCAACCTCTCCTTCAGGCTGGGGATGAACCAAAACCTGGGTGGGAAGGGCAGGAGGGCTGCCCCGGGCTGGGGGAGCACGGAGCAGCTTCTCCAACCCCCCCCGCCTTCATCCACCCCACTCCCTTCCACCCTCGCCACCTCCTAGCCCCACAGCCACAGCCTGACCCCAACCCGAGCACCTCACGAAGCCCCCCAGGAGCTGCAAGCCCCCTCCCCAGCCACCACGAGCAGTGTCAGAGGGGAAAGGGCCGAGCCTGGACACCCAGCCCCGGTCCCAAAAGGGACCCGAGATGCAACCACTGCGCGCTCAGGGGCGCGCACCGGTGCCGGGACGCTTCGCCCCCCTGCCCTGGGGGGCTCTGCCCAGCAGGGAAAACAGCCTGTGCCTGGGGCTGCTGCATCTCACGGCCTCTTTCTGCCCGCAGCAGGAGGGCAGCAGCAAGCACGGGGAGCCTACCGAAGCCCCCTGCTCCCGGCAGAGCCCCCGAGGACGGGGATGGAAAACTGGGCTCAACGCGGAGCCGCTCGCTGGGTGCTGGTGGCCACGAGCAGGGGGCCAGCGGGAGGCGCAGAGGTGAGCCCCCTCCACCAGCTCCCGGGGGGCTGCCAGGGGACCCGTTGGAAACCGGTGACCCCCCCGGAGGAGGTTAGGGCTGGTTGGTGCCCTCTTGGCCCCCCGGAGGAGAAATCCAGGCTCGTGCGATGGCCGCGGGCGGTCGGAGAGCAGCGTTCGAGGGCAGGGGCTGCGGAAGCGTTTGTAAGAACCAAGGCTGCGATCGGAGGCTAAGAGGCACTTGAATGAGCAAAACAAGGATTAAAAAAAAAAAAAAAAAACATTACGGAAGGAAATAGAAAAAGGTTCGACCCCCCCCTCCTCGTCCCCCCTCTCCCCCCAGAGAGACAACCAGCACCACCGCCGAGAGGTGGGCGTTCGGGTGGGTCACAGGAGGAGTCGGTGGCAGGGATCACGGCCCCCAGCTCCTCCAGGGAACAGGCCCAGAGAGGACGAGACCTAACGGGGTGAGACCGGGGGGCAGTGGGGGCAGCCCGAGCCGGGGGGGGTCCCACGAGCAGGGGGCAGCAGGTCACATCGGTGAAGAAGCGCACTCCGGGGTCAGCTCCATGTCGAAGGTCAGCGACTCTGGGGGAAGCAAGGGGAAAGGTGGGGAGGTTATGGGGGGCACATCCCGATCCCTCGAGGCTCCAGGCCGCCGCCAGGCTGCCCCCCAAGTGCTGGGTGCCCCCCCAGGCTCACCGAACTGGCCGCCGCGTTGGCCTCGGCTCCCTCGCTGCTGTTACCGAACTGCATGAGCGAGTCCAGGGTGCGCGGGGACATGGGCAGGTCGATGGTGTTGCTGAAGGAGGTGCTGGCAGAAGGAGGGGAAAGCAAAGAAACCACCCGAGTCAGGGCATGGCCGGAGCTCTCCGACACCCCCCTGCCCTCCCCCGGAGGGCCCCAGGGCGCAGGGCAGTGCTGGGGGAGCTCTCGGGGAGGAAAGGGGCCCCCGGAGGGGGGAGAACGGGCTCCAGGAGCCTGGCTCAGCACCGCTGCCTCTCCCCCTTCCCAAGCAGGGAGCCCCAAAGCACCCGGGGAAAGCAGCTGTGAGAATGACATCCCCCCCGAGCCCAGCACACAAATGCGTTTTGAGACACCCGCTGGGAACACTTACGGGGTGACACAGATGAACTTGGTCTTTAGATAGGGAGCAGCACCTGCAGGGGAGAGAGCGGCCTCGTCACCAGCTGCCGGAGGAACAGCTCCTGTCCCCAAGAGGGGCACAGCCCTGGGGACAACCCCTGCTCAGTCCCAGACCCTCCCCAGACCCCGCAGGACCCCCAGACCCTCCCCAGACCCTGCAGGACCCCAAGACCCTCTCCAGACCCCGCAGGACCCCCAGACCCTCCCCAGACCCCGCAGGATCCCCAGACCCTCCCCAGACCCTCCCCAGACCCTGCAGGACCCCCAGACCCTCCCCAGACCCCACAGGATCCCCAGACCCTCCCCAGACCCCGCAGGACCCCCAGACCCTCCCCAGACCCCGCAGGATCCCCAGACCCTCCCCAGACCCTCCCCAGACCCTGCAGGACCCCCAGACCCTCTCCACACCCCGCAGGACCCCCAAGACCCTCCCCAGACCCCACAGGATCCCCAGACCCTCCCCAGACCCCGCAGGACCCCCAGACCTTCCCCAGACCCCGCAGGGCCCCCAGACCCTCCCCAGACCACCGCAGCATCACCCTGCTGGAGCGGGCTCCTCCACCACGGTGCCGTCCCTGCAGCCACCCCGCGACCCGTCCCAAAAAAAAGCAGGCGGGCACCACGCCGGGCCGCAGAAAGTCAACGACTACCTGAGTCGGTGGCTTCCGAGTGCTCCTGGCTCTCGGAGCGGCAGTACTTCCCAAACGCCTCCTCCTTGGGGATGTCGGGGTACAGGTAGACCAGGGGGGACACCAGGATGTTGGTGGCGTCCATGATCTTGTAGCCCATGATGATCTCGGCGAACGACATGCTGTTCAGCTGCTGCTTGGTGTAAGGCTCCACGGACTGGATCTGGGTTTTCCCTGTACAAGGAGGCTTCAGACACAGGGCAGGACACCTCGGGAGAAGGCAGGGACTTTCCCCCGAACACCCCAGGGATGGGACGGAGCAGCTTGGGGAGGCACCCAACAGGGGCAGGACAGACCCATGGGGAGGTTTCAGCACCACGGGAAGCCACAGGGGCACCCAGGAGGCAAAAACTAGCCAAAAAAGCCACCCAGGCTCAAATAATTAACCAAGGAGAAAGCCTAGCGGGACGAGGAGAAGGGAAAAGGTCTCATTATGGGTCCCCGAGCCCCATTTGGAGGGGCGACGTACCGCTGATGTCCTTCTCCACCCAGGTGAAGGTGATGCCGCCCTCCTTGCTGCTCTCGCTGAATCGCAGCAGGAAGGTGCCCGGGGGCTTGGTGCTGAGGATGGCTCGCTCCCGCTCCTTGCTGATGAAGCCCATGATGTACCTGAGGGGGCAGGGAGCAATGTGGGGGGGGGGTCAGGGCACCGGGGAAGCAGCCCCAGGGCTTGAACCCTGCCGGTTCCCTGCACAGGCAGCAGCCCCCAGCAGAGCCATTGACATTTAGGGGATGGTTTGGGGATTTTTGCCCTGAAGCAGCCCACAGAGTTTGGGCAGAAAAGGCAGCCCAGGAAAAGCAGCCTGCCCCAAAACCCCCCCCTCCATCGGGACAGGACTCGGGGGTCCCCCCCAAGCTGAAGGTGAGCGGATTGATGCTGGTGGGGGCTCACCCCTCGTTCCACAGCGCCAGGATGTATTTCTTCACCAAGTCGATGATGTTGTCCAGCCAGACCCAAAACGAGAAGCCTTTCCCAGCCATGTTCTCCTGGGGGAAGAGAGTGGAGAGGTTGGGGGGACAGCTCGGGGGGAGGGTGGCCAAGCACCATGGGGGGGGGGGTAAAGAGGGAATCGCACCTTGCAGAACTTGGCCCAGGTGATCTGACAGCCCGAGTAATTCACACCTGGCCCTGGCAGAGAAGAGGAGCATCAATTTTTGGGTGCCACTCCCCAAATTACCACCTCCAGACAGCAACCAAAAGCTTCACGGCGTTTCGGGGGGAAACCAAGCAGCTAAAAGCGACAGCTTCCTTCCCAGCCACCCAAATCTTGCTACTGCACCGCATTTTTTTTTAATTTTTTTTTTTTTTTTCCAGGCAGGGAGCAGGCAGGGGGGGGGGGTTACCGAGCAGTTTTTCGGCCAGCGTCGTCAGCTGCTCGATGCTGAGGCCTCGCTTGGTGGTGGAGGAGAACTGCCAGCTCAGCACCTCCGCCACCTGGTCCCACGTCCCGATGGGGGGCTTGGTGAAGAAGTTGACGTTCTGCGGGAGGAAAAACACAGTCCCTGAGCAGGACGAGGGGGCAGGAGCAAGGCTGGATCCTCAGCCAGCCCTGCTGATGGGGCTGAGCAATTTTTTCTGCAGTTTTTCTGCCTGCCGGGCAGGATGTTGAAGCCCGAAGCAAGCCCTGCTCCTCTGGCAGCCTCCCCCGGGGGGGGCTGAGCCCTACCTTGGGGTTGTTGGTCAGCATGTTGTACCACAGGATGGACGCCCAGGCGTTGGGCATCTGGCAGATGTTGGAGATCACCACCACGGGCAGCGAGTGGGTCTGCAGAGAGGAGACACGGCCACGGGGCTGGGACGTCTCACCGAGCCACCAGCCGAGCTCCGTGCTCCATCCCAGCCAGCCCCCCCAGCCCAGAGACATCCAGCAGAGGGGGGGCACAGCTCCAGGGAGCCCACGGGCTGTGGATCTGCCTCCTGGGCTTCACCTCCGAGAGAGCTGAGGGTGCCCCGAGCTGTTCCTTCTGCTACTGGGGAACCGTGTGGCTAAAACCCAAGGCTCACCTCCAGGTCGATCTTCAGCCCCTGGTGGTACACCTCTGTCTCGAAGGTGATGAGGTGCAGCTCCTCGGTCACGATCAGCGAGGCCTGGGGGGGAGGAGGACACGGTGAGCCCACGGGAGACCCCTGCCCTCAGCCCGATGCTGAGGGGGGTCCCGGGTGGGCAGGGCTGGGCTGGCAGCTGCCAATGTGCCAAAAGGTGCCAAGACCCCCCCCTGGGGCAATCCCTGCTCAACTCTGTGCCTAACCCTCAGGGAAGGAGATGCAGCGATGGCTACGGCTGCCCTGAGCCAGCAAAGGGCTCTCCTTGCCAGGACCCTCCCCCCCAAAAAAAACAAAAAAAAAAACCAAAAAACAACTTACATCACAGTTGGCTCTGCCTCCGTTCCCGCATCGCTGCTCCCGCAGGGTCTGCAGAGGGAAGGGAGAGGCTGCAGCATCACCACGAGGGCGCACGGCCCCAGGAGGAGCCCCCCCCCCGGGGGCTCGCGGCACCTACCAGGTGCTTGAACTCCGCCGAGAGGCTGCCGTTGTTGGACTCCTCCATGTTCATGACCTTGGTGTTCGTCCCCAGGATGTTAAACTTCCGCGACCTCAAAAGAGGAAAAAAAAAAGACACGGTGTGGCCGGCGGCCCCCTCGGGGCGAACGCACGGGAGGACGTTCGCCGGGGTTAAAAGCAGAAGTAAGAAAGAAAGAAAAGAAAAAGAGAAACCATCGCGCTTACCCCCGGAGTGCTGCAACATCACCAGAGTCCCTAGGAAAGGGAAGAGAGAGATGCGGTCACGGCCACGGCCTCCCCGCACTGCTGGGGGGGTCGGCGGCACGGCATCGAGTCCCACGACCCCCCCCCCGGGCTGTCCCCACAACTTGGGAGTGGATCTCGGGGACCCACGGCCACCCTGTGCCGTCCCCAGGGGTCACACCGGCCCTAAGTGCAGGGATGGGGCTTGACCTGGGGGCAGCAGGAACACGTTGGGACCCCAAAAGCTCTACCCAGGGGCAGAGCACGGGACTCACTTGTCGATGCAGACTTTGATCTTCAGCTGGTAATTCAGCTCGGGGAACTTCACCAACAACCTGCGGAGCGAGCAGGGTGTGAGCACCAAGATCCAGAACCCGGCACTGCCCCGGCTCCTCCGGCACCCCAAACCCCTCTGCACACAGGGCTGTGGCACGTCACCCCGACACCCGTCCCCAAGAGGGGCTGCTGCTCCCCTAAGCCCCCCCAAGGGGGGGTTGTTCTGGCTGCTGGCTGCCCAGAGCAGGCAGATTTTGCCCCGAGCAAACCCCATCTGTGCTGCTGCGTGGCTGCCTCGTGCCAAAAAGGGGCACAAAGGGGTGGAGAAGAAGCTCCAGGGGCTCCCTGCAGAGGGACGCAGGCCAGATGAGAGGCATGGGGCCAGGGACAATGTGCTGACACCTCCCACCGGCCGCCCCCGCAGCGGGATTTACCAGAACCCTGCCTGCCTCCAGGAACACGGCACAGCCCCGGCCAGCAGCCTCGCTCCCTGCCCAGAATCACCCAGGCTGTGCTCCAGCTCCAGCAGGACCAGCCTGCGGGGAGCCCTTCCCTCCCGGGGCTGCGTCTGCAGCAGCATCCCCTGGAAAGAGAGCCCCCAAATTCCCCCCCGCACGGCTCCCGTCCCCCCTCTCCTGCGGCGCGCAGCCAGCGACCAACCTGACTTTGGTGGTGAACTGCACGCCGGTTTTGATGACCAGGGGCCGGTCGGGGTGCATGGGCATGCAGGGCTGCCTCTCCACCACAAACGCGCTGCAGGAGACGACAAAAAGCACCAGCAAAGCTCAGCACCCTCCTGGCACACCCGGTGCTCGCCCCTCAATGTGCTGCCCAAAATTGAGGAACTGCCCCTGGTTCCCCCCCAGCCCCCAGCACCTTTTCATCAGGTTCCTGAAGAGCTCCACGATGCGCTCCTCCAGCATGGGCCGGTGCTGGACGATGGGGTCGCCCTTGTAGGACACTTTCTGTTGCAGCTCTTCCAGCTTCTTGATCTGCTGCCGGGTCTGTAGCTGCGATTCGGCAAGAGAGGTTATCCTAGGGGAGCGGGGAAGAACCAGCGTTAGCTCCGGCTGCTGCGCCCTGCACAGCCCCAGCCCGCAGAGCCCTGCACCCCTGCGTGGTCCCAGCCTGCAGAGCCCCAACCTAGAGCCCCAATTCTTCCCTTGCTCGTGCAGGAGAGGCTGCTCACCGTACCGAAGCAGCAGAGAGCACAACCTGCCCGCAGCTCCCAGCTCAGGGCATTTTTTTTTCTGGGCTGGGCAGCATGAAAAAAACCCTGCCTGCACCCAGCTCTGCGGGGCACAGCAGCCGAGGGCTCACAAACGGCGGTGTTGGGCTGGGAACTTCTTACACCTTACACCCCACGAGCCTGGGGCAGCACCACCAGGACCACCGAGCAGGGATTGGTGACCTGCAGGCATCGGTGACCACTTTGCCAGGACACCGGGCAGAGGCAGAGCTCATTTCCAGCTGGGTGTTTGACCTGGTGCCTCCCCGGGGACCGCCACGAGCCCCGGGCAGCTCTCCTCTTACCAGTTCTCCAGCCGGTCCAAGCAGATATTTGGTGGGCCGCCGATGCAAGCAATTTGCTGCCGTCTCTTCCAGTCCGCCAGCTCCTCGTCTGCCAGCATCTTCTGCACGTACTCCATGGCCGACAGCAGGCCAGCCAGCTCGCTCACTATCCCCTGCCAAAAAGGGAAGCAGACCTTCAGTTCCCTCTGACATCCTCCAAATCCTGCAGGTTTCACCCTCCCCAGAAACGAAGTGACCCAAGGTTGCATTTCCAGGGCTGCTCCAGGCACCAACGCCAGCCCCACGCCCCCCATAAAAGCATTTCTGTGCCCCGGGGGGATTTCGGGGGGTCAGGGGCAGGCTGTACCCTTCGCATCTGGTCCAGCGCCGTGAGCATCTGTTCCAGCTGCTGCATCTTCTGCCGTGTCACCGACTGGTTGTTCCCGTTCAGATCCTGCATGTCTGCGAGGAGAAGAGGCAAAGCTTCAGCCCAGCACGCTCCTCCTGCCCTCCCGAAGGTCACACAAAAATTAAAAAGACTCCACGGTTGGCAGCGGAGGAGCAGGCACTCGGAAAGGTGGCGATGTTTTAGCAGCCCTCTCCTGCTGCCAGCGCTGCCTCCGGGCACCTGGCTGGCGTTCCTGCCCAGCCAGCAGCCCTCCCACCTCCACGCACCGTTCCCTTGGGGGATAGAGCTCTGCTTCAGCTCCCCCAGAGGCTAAATCAGGGGCAGGAACAAAACCCAAGCTCTCTCCAATTAACACGCAAATGCCCAGAGAGTAAAATGCCCCCAAGCCTGGAGAGGGCTGGAACGAATGTGCCCCCCGGCGAGGTTCCTTGCAGGAACGCATTTTGGCTTTGCCAGATGCTAACGAGCTTCCATTACCCCCTTGGCTTTTCAAAGTCTTGTAGTTAAAATCAAAGTCATCCTGGAGATTCTCCACCACTTTCATCTTCTGCTCCAGATCCTGCAAGGCGAGAGGCAGGAATTTGCTCCAAGCACTCAGTCCGGGGGGATGGGGGGGAGAGGAGGAGGTGCCTGGGCAGCACGCTTACCTGCACCCTCTTCCTCACATCCTGCAGGTGCTGCTCCAGCATCTGCTGCTTTTCTGTCACCACGGCTGCTGTCGGATGCGTCGCCTGTCCCCCTTGCTGCGGAGGGGACAAGAAGGGTGTTAGAAAGGGGCCGTGACCTGGTGCGAGGGGGTTCTGTGGGCGTGAAAACCTTCCCTGCACTAATAAAAGCCAGGGGCAGAGAACCAGGAGGCATCCTGGAGAGCTCAGGGTCAGCTGCCCTTCCCTGCAGCTCGCCCATCCCTCTGCACTACCACTGCTGAAGGCAGCAAGCGGGGGGCTTCAGGCTGGAGCTTCCCAGTGGCACCGGGTACCCGCCCAGTGCCGTGGGGTGGGCGGCACAATGGGGACCCCAGGGCACCCGAGCCCCTTACCTGGGCTGCGGTGGCGGCCGTCTGCAGGAGCCGGGACTCTTCCCAGAGGCAGCGAGCCACGATGCGAGCTATTTCCATCGGCTTCTCCAAGTATCTGCTCTGTAAACCGTTCAAATCCTCAAGGTCAGCCTCCAAAACGCAGCTCCAAGCATCCCCACACGCTCCAGAACAATTTTGCGAGCTGTGCCCGGGAAGCCGCTGGATATCGGTGCCCGAGGGAAAACCCAACGAAGGGGGGGGGGTCTCTGGGTTTCTGCCTCACCTGCAGGAACTGCTTGATGCGCCGCAGGTTGTGCTGGTAGAGGACGTTGGACTCCTGCAGGAAGCGGCTGTACTGCTGGTCGATCTCCCCCAGCAGGTTGTGGAACACCAGCGTGGCGTGAGACTCCTTGTTGGCAGCGTACGCCCTGCACAGGGGGGGGGGAAAACTGGTGAGTCCTGGAGTCTGGGGGCAGGGGCTGGGCAGCACCCGCTGTCCCCCCGTGGTTTAACACCCACTAAACTACACCAGGGATGACAGCCAGAGCATTGCTCAGCACCAATACATGGAGCCAAGTGACCGCTCCTGGGTGCTGGAGGCGTTCCAGATTTGCGCACGGATCTGCACCGGTCCCCCAGGGGGATGCAGGAGCTGCTGCCCCATTTCATCCCTCATTCACACCAAAGGGTGAGAAAAAGCAGCCCTGGGGGGGGGACAGCGCCCTCCACACGTCAGAGCTGTCGGCGGTGCCTTACCAGTCCTGGCTCTCAATCCACGGGGCCAGGAACTGCCGCAGCTCCATGGGGAAGCTGTCGCTGTAGAGCTGGTGGAGCTGCTCCAGGTAGCGCGTGTCGAGCTGCTGCAGCTGGTTCCACTGCGCCATCCTGGCCGGCTCCGGAGACCTGGGGGGGGCAGGGGGTGGGTCAGTCAGCACGGCCCCCCCTCAGCCTGCAGGAAACCCTCCCGAGCTCAAAGAGACAGCTGGGACCCACCACGAGCCCAAGGGGCTGGGCAGGGGGCTCTGGGGTGCCCCCAGGCACGAGCAGGAGGGGGCTGCCTCCCTGCCCTCAGCACCCGACGCTCAGCACGAAGCGTCTGGCACCCGGGGGGGCTCAGGCACCGCACACAGCCCCCGGCCGTCACCCCTTTGGCCACGCGGGGAGCGCAGGTCGCACAGCGGGGCAGAATGGGGAAGTTGGAGGTTCGGCATCGCAGCGTGGGGAGCCCCGGCTCTCTTCTCCAGAGAGCCGGAGCTGCCAGCCCCGATGCCCACCTCCCCCTCCCCACCAAGCCCCGGGGGTCCAGCCCTGATGCCCCCCCCCCCCCGCCTCGTCCCCACCGAGCCCTGGGGACCGAGCACCCCCGGCTCCGGGTGCAGGCGCCGCTGTCGTCACCAGCGCAGGGCCCTGCGTCGAGAGGAGGCGGAACCACAGACCCAAACCACAGCGCCAGCGAGGGCAAAATGCGCAAAAAAATGCGTGTTTTGGGGACGAGGGGGTGGGGAAGCCCTGCTCACACCAGCAATGTTCATATTCCGGGCCCCAAACCTGCCCCGTTCCCACGGGGAAAACGCAGAGGGGCACCAGGCTGCTCAGCACAGCAGCAGCACCGCGCCAGCTCCGGGGTCTTGGAGTGAAATCCAGCCAAAAACGAGCAGCCGACGCAGGTCCTGCTGCTGCTGGGGAGCTGGAGGAAGCCCAGGGCCTGCCCCCCCTGCGTCTGCAGCCCGTGCCAAGGAGATCGACCCGAAATAGCTGAGGTCGGAGAGGCAGAGCTGCGCCCCCGCCTCTCCCACTCGGTTTCGGGGCCGTGCAAACCCGAAGGACTTCTACAAACCAGGGCAGGCCTAGGGCCTCGCTCGGATTTCCTCACCAAAAAAAAAAAAAAAAATCAACAAAACAACCAAAAACCATTTCCCCAAACGCTGCCTTCGGCCAAACTTCCTCCTAGAGAGGCAGCCGAGCTCTCCTACCTTCTCGCCGGGGGGAAGAGGAAGGGTGTCGGGCATGGAGGTGGGCAGCGAGCGGTGCGGGGCTGGGACCCGGTGCCAGACCCTGGCACCCGCCCTCCGGCCGTCCTGCGCCTGCTCCGGCGGGGCAGGGAAGGAGCCCGCAGAGCTTTACAGTAAGCACGGAAGGCGGGGACTGCCGGGAAGCCACAGAAACGAGGAAGGAGCAATCCTCCAGCCCTGCTGCTCGATGGAAAGCCGAGCGAACCCGAGGAGGCGCCGAGCTCTCCGCCGGGCAAGGCTCTTCCCCGCGGAAAGCCGCTCGCTTTTCCGCACCAGCCCAGCCCGGCGAGCGACACGTCAGCTGGCAGGAGGCCGAGGGGCCGTGCCGCAGCCCAGGAAGCCACCGCCAGCCTTCCCCGAGGGGCAGAGAGGCAGCCGAAGGGACCAGGGACAAGAGGAGCTGTGGCCGCGGTGCCGCCGTCGTGCCCGGGGAGGACACGGGAGCGAAGCCCCATCCTGCAAAGCTCCCGGCTCCAGGATGGGCTGGGAACAGGGGGAGGCAAAGCAACCAGCCCCGGGGGCACTGCCGGGTGGGTTTTTATTAGGAAATAAAGAAATGAGCGGAGCCTGAATGCGGCACCCCCCTGGCTTACCCCCTGTAAGCTCTGGGCACGCGGCCGTGCGCGCTCATGCACATTTTTGGCAGCACAAGGGACACGAGGGACACAAGGGACAGGAGGGACACTGCCCGCACCCGCAGCTCCGTGCCACCACGTCCCCTTCCCAGCCCACAGCAGCTGCTAATTGAGCCAGGCTCAATTATCAGCCTCTCCAAGGGGCTCCCATCGCCGTCAGCTGAAATCGATGCCAGCTTTTCGGGCTGCGCACCGCCTTTCCCTATTTATTATTATTTTTTTGTGTATGTCTGTGTTTTTTTTTATAGAAAAAGAGGCAAAATCATCCCGGGCTGAGACACGGGGAGAGGGCAGGCACCTGCCAGGGAGCTAAACCGGCGTCTGCACCTCCTGCCCGGCAGCAGCACCGGCAGGAGGTTGCGCCACGGGGCCGGGTTCAAGGCTCAAGCCCACGTGAACGACGCCTGAGCTCGGTGCAGCAACAGGCAGGAGGGGGGGGGACGGGGGCAGGAGCTCGGGGAAGAGAGGAGCAAATCCAACCTGCTGAGCTCCTCCACGCTCAGGGGCAAAAACGGGGCAAAAAAAAAAAAAAAAAAAAAGATTTTGGGGTTTTGCCTCACAGCTGCTTGCCGGGCACGGCAGCAAAGCCCCCGTTTCGCAGCTCTTGGCTTTTTGTTTGGGGAGGTCGCAGCCCCGTCAGGTCAGCACTGCCCCTACAGCGCGAGGCCCGGGGGCGCTGCTCCTGCTGCTGCTGGGAAATAAAACCAAAAAAAAAAAAAATAAATCCACAGCCAGGCCAAGCTGGGAACCCGCAGCCCACCCGCACCCCGCGCTCCCCTGCCCCAGGAGATATCCCCCCGGGAAGCCCTGACCCGGCACCATGGGGCTGTATTCCGGCCCTAAAACGCCCAGGACCAAAACCCCAAAGCAGAGCCCCCGGGGGGCGGCGGGGGGCACGGGCACAGGGCGATCCCTGCCGAAACAGAAGCTGTGTGCGGGGTGAGCGGCTCAGCCCCGGCCAAGGGAGCGAAGGAAGTTCCTGCAGGGCAAGGGAAGCGGCCATGGGGGGGATTTGGGGTCACGGGGGGGATTTGGGGTCACGGGGGGGATTTGGGGTCACAGAGGGGGATTTGGGGCAGCAGCAGCCGAGGCCGGGAGCTGTGCTCGTGGGCAGCCCCCCCGGGGCTCGCTCTCAGCCCATCCTCGCCCGGAGGGGTTGAGGAGCAGGGGCAGGGGGTGGCGTTGGGTTTTTCCAGCCCCGGGGGCTGAGCCAAATCCCCCCCCCCCCCCAAGGTGCTGCTGCGGGAAGAGAGGGCCGGGAACAGGCTCGGGATGAGGTTTGGGGTCACAGCGAGCGGGCGGGGGCTGATCCAAGGGTCAGGGGATGCAGAGGGGCTGGGAACATCGGGGAGCAGCCGACGGCATCCCAAAAGGGAGCCCCCCCCCTTTGGGGCAGCCCCCACCTCCAGCCCATGGGGCAGCAGCTGAGGAAAAGGGGCTCCAGGACCCCCCCCTCGCTGCCCGGCTCGGCGATGTTACCAAAAACACCACCTTTTTGGCCCAAAACCTGCCGCAGGATCCCGTCTCCAACCCGGCCCCGGCAGCGGGAAGCCCCCCCTGGGGGGGGATTTTTGCTTTGGGACCGTCCCCGGGACCCCCCCCCCGTTATTTCCAGGGGTCCCGTGGGCAGCATGAATGGGGAGGAGACCCCCAAAAAACAGGGGGGCAGCGGTGACCGGCCCCATCCACCCCTCCAGGTTCCCAAAGGAGCAGCGGCGGCCGAGGGGGCGGGGGGGTGAAAAACCCACCCCAAACAGCTAAAAAACCCCAACTAAACACTAAAAAATAATTAATGAAGAGGCCGAGTGGGCGCTGCGGGCAGCCAAGGGCTGGTTTTGGGGAAGGATTTGGGGTCAAAATTTGGAGTCAAAATTTGGAGTTTTTTCCTCGGTTCTGCTCCACCGGGGGGGGCTTTGGGAGGGGGTGGATTTGGGGCAGGGGGGGCTCGGGGCAGGCTCGCAGCCCCCGCAGCCATCCCCAGCCACTCGGGGCCGTGACCCCCGGGGGATTTCGGGGTGCAGAGCGGGGCCCGGTGCTCCCACACCGGCAGCAGCACCCCGGGGTGCTGGGGGGGGCTTCCAGGAGCCCACCCAGGGCAATGCCAGCCTCTAGGGGGGGGAGGTCACAGGCCCAGGACCACCCCCCCCAATTGCTCCCCGTTCCTGCTCCCTGCGGGTTCTCCGCGCTGCCTCCTCCTCCTCCTCCTCCTCCTCCTCCTCCTCCTCCTCTTCCTCATCTTCCTCCTCCCGGGGCTGGGCAGCGCTGGACGAGGCCGTGCGGAGGACCCCCGGTGTGGGGGGGGGGGGGACACAGCCGCAGCCCCCCCACCCTGAAGGCTACGGAGCCGTTTTCTTACCCCAAACCCAAGGAGCAGCCGCGGGACCCTCGGCTCGGCACCGGGACAGCCCCGGGGGTCGCCTCCTCCGGTGTCCAACCCCCCCCCCCCCCTCCGGTAACATCCCCCGCCCCCCGGTGACCCCCCCCCCCCCGGTAACCCGGGCACCGTGAAGCCGGGGGTGGCGGCCGCTCCCCGGTGCTGTCCCGACCCGAGCAACGCGGTGGAGCCCCGGTAAGTCCCGGTCAGTCCCGGTCGGTGCCCACGGGGGAGCCCCCCCGGGATCTGCCCCGTTCTTACCGGATCCCCCCCCCCCGGTGGGCTGTCAGAGCGGGGCACCGCGTTACCACCCCCGGGCACCGCAGGGCGATAACGGGGAACGGGGCAACCGGGGGGACAACCGGGGGGGGGGGGGGTCAGCCAGCACAGGGCGGGTGGCAGAGCCCCGGTAACACCGGGACAGCGCCCGGGGGTGCTCGGCAGCGCGGGGACCTCACCCCGGGGGGACCAGCACCGGGGAGCGGCACCGGAGCCACGGTCCCGGCTCCCCCCGGTACCCCCCGGTACCCCCGGTGACCCCCAGTAACCCCCGGTGACCTCCCGGTGACCCCCCAGTGACCTCTGGTGAACCCCCCGGTGACCCCGGTTCCGCCCCCCCGGTGCTGCCCCCCCCCGCCCCGCACTCACCGTGGGGCCCGGCCGGGGCGTGGCGGCGGCTCCCGGTGCCGGCGACGATCGCGGCTCCGCTCCCGGCCCCGAGTGACGCCACCGGAGCCGCCGCCCGCCGGGCCCCGCCCCCTCCCGGCTACGTCACGCCCCTCCCAGCCAATAGCAGCGCGCGGCCCCGCGAGGGACGGGCGGCGGCGAGCCAATCAGCGCCGTCTTCTCCGCGGTGACGTCACGGAGGGGAGGGGGGGGCTGCCCCGCGGCGGCTGTTCCCGGCTTTGCGCCGCCTCCCGCCGCGGGGTGGCGCTGGGAGGTGAAGGGAGGGAGGAGCGGGGGGGGGAGAGGAGGGTGGCCGGGAACGGCCGTGCGGGAAACCCGGCTGAGTTCCGGGCAGCGCCGTGACGTCAGCGCGCGGCCCGCGGCCGCCGCCGCCGCCTCTTAAAGGGGCCGCGCCCTCACCGGGGGGAAGCTCGGGGGGGCCCACAGCGACCCCGCCCGGGGCACCGGGGCAGCACCGGGGCGGGGAGCCACGAGGCCTACGGGGCCTGGGGGTGGGAACCGAGCCTCGACGAGGCTTGGCTGCCCTGCCCGGGCTCCCCCGGGGGCTTTCGGTGGTCCTGGGGGGGTTCCCGGTGCCCCCCGGTGGGACGGGACCCCCCCGGTGCGGGCGCGCAGAGCGAGGCGGGAGGCCGGGAGCTCGTAGAAAAGAGCTTTATTAGCGGGGCTGCTCGCCGGGAGGCAGCCGGAGGGAGCGGTTAGAGGCGGCAGCAGCCCCCCTGGGCGAGGGGGGGGCACGCGTTAAAAAAAATAATAAAAGTGTTAAAAAATAACCAAAAACGCAATAATTGGGGCTTTGGGGAGAGGAGTGTGGGGGTGGTGAGCTGCCCACGGTGGGCACAGCGGGAGCAGCAGCACGCGGGGCCGCCCGTCCTGGTCCCCGGGATGGGGATGATGTGGGACGGGGAGCCGGGGGGGTTGTAGGGCCAGGAGCTGGTTGGGTTGTAGGGCTGAGAGCCAGGTGGTCTGTAGGGTCCGGAACCGGGTGGGTTGTAGGGCCGGGAGCTGCTTGGTTTGTAGGATCGGGAGCCTGTGGATTTGTAGGACCGGGAGCCAGTTGGTTTGTAGGGCCCAGAGCCAGTTGAACTATAGGACCAGGAGCCCGTTGGGTTTTTAGGACCTCGGGAGCCAGTTGTTTGTAGGTGATTTGTAGGGCTCGGAGCCCATTGATCTGTAGTACCAGGAGCCGGTTGATTTGTAGGGCCCGGAGCCCATTGATTTGTAGGACCGGGAGCCTGTGGATTTGTAGGACCAGGAGCCGGTTGGTTTGTAGGGCCCGTAGCCTTTTGCTTTGCTCCCACTGCCACGGGGGAGCCTTCACCTCGCAGCCCCCATTCAGCCCACACACCTTGGCCCCTGCCCGCAGCCGCCCCCCAGCCCCGCATCCCGGGGGTCTCATGGGGCAGACGTCTCATCCCCTTGGGGCAGCAGGGCAGGACCCCCCCATGGGGCTGGGGGCACCGGACAAGAAGAGGGGAAACGATGCGGAGAGGAAAAGCAAGTTTATCTATTTAGTGGGGCCAGCGGCAGCCGTCCCCGCTGCATGGGGAGGGGGGGGAGCGGGCCGGGAAGGAAGGTGCTGAGCTTGGGGTGCCGAGCACAGCCCCCCACATCCCTCCCCTGCCTGCCGGGAGCAGCCCCGGTGTGTCCGCAGGCTCCCCGGGGGAGCGGCCTCCTGCCCTCCCCGTGGCTCCTGCGGGGCCGGGGCGATGCCACAGTGCTGGCTGCGTGCGTGAGAGCCGGAGCGTGGCAGCCCCGGGGGAACCGGGGCTGTGCCGTGCCCGGGAGGTGTGGGGTGCGATGCGAGCGCTGCCTTGCTGCGGGGGACGGAGCGAAGCCAGCGGTGGGGAAGCAGGAAACGGGGAGGGAATGAGCCTGAGCCCTGCCGGGACCCCTGGAGGAAGCAGGGGCTGAGAAATCCTCGAGGTGTCGGGGCTGCTCCCTGATGGTCGAGGCGCTGGCACACCCCAAATGGCTTCTGGCAACAAATTGCAGCCGCTGCTGGGTTCTCCAGCACCGCCGCCTGCCTTCGCCCTCTCCCCAGCCAGCCAGCAGGCACCTCGCTGCCCAAAAAAAGGGGGGTGCAGCGCCCCAGCTCTGCGTGCTCCCTGCCCCGGGGAGGGTTTTGGCAGGCAGCCCCGTTACCCCAAGCACGGGAGCGTGCACCCACCCTGCCCCTGCAAGGGCAGCGCTGCAGGGAGCAGCGGCAGGAGGGGTCTGGGGGACGTGGTGGCTTTGTGGTGAGCCTGTCCCGGCACCGCCACGGGAGGGGAGAGCGGAGCAGACCCGCCTGCGTGCCACGGGGCTCGCACAGCTTCGCCCTCGCTCTGCAAACCCCCAGGATTTGCTCGGGTCTCCCCCCAGAGGTGGCCGCTCAGCCTGGTGCGGGGAGCTGGGGTGCGGTGGGCCGGGCAGGGGGCTTGGCACGAAGCTTTCTTGACGCCAGGGCTTTGCTCTCAGAGGCACTTGGGTTTTCCAGGTGTACAGCCGGTATTATCTTGGTTTTAGCACTCTCTCCAGCTGGGTCCCCGTCGCTCAGGGCTCGTCTTCAGGGCCGGTGGCTGGAAGGCTCTCACGCAGCCTGTGGCAGGAATGGTCTCCGAGGGTGATTTGACGTGTGTAAGAAAAAAAAAAAAAAAACAAAAAACAGTCCCATGTTCCTAGTGTTCCTGTGTGCTAAAACTAAAATATAAAATACACCTCGTCCTAGCAGGCAGGGGATTGGCGTCGGCTCTGCGGGGTAGTAAAGAGGCATGGTGTACACTTTCCCCCGGGGCACCGGGGCGTGGAGAGATCTCAGCAGGTGACTGGTTCCGTGGTCAGCCGTCCGTCCGCAACCCTTCCGCGCTGCCGCGGGTGCTACTCACTGTCACTCTTGTCCACCAGTACCGCGTCGGACTCCTCCGTGATCTCCAGCAGCGTGTGCATCTCGGGGCTCTCCCCACGCATCAGATCCGAGTTTTCTCCCTCCTCTCCGCCGACCTCCACCAGCTCCGTGGCTTTGACTTCCACCTCGCCCTCCCGAATCTTCTTGACGTGGAAGGTGAAGGGCGGCACTTTGTAGACGGCCGTCTTGGACCTGGCGTAGATGGTGTGGTTGGGGGTGAAGGACTTGCGCAGCTTGTCCCGAGAGGTCTTCATCTTCTCTCTCCTCTCGTTAGTCACGATCTTGGTGCCCAGTTTGTTCATCCTCTTCTCCAGGTTGTGGCGGGTCTTCTCCAAGTTGTGGCGGGTCTTCTCCAGGTTTTCCTTGGTCTTGAGCTTAGTCTTCTCCATCTTCTCCTTTGAGAAGGCCTTCTTGAAGTCATCCACTCTCTTCATGCCGCTCCTTTTGATGCGCTCTGCCCTCGACTCTTCGATAATCTCCTCGATCTCCACCTCCTCATCCGAGGAGAGCTGGATGTGATCCTCCTCCGCGTGGTCCTCGCCAGCCGGCACCTCCTCACCCTCGCCTTCCTTCTCTTGCTTCTCACCCTCCTTCAGGGACTTGCTGATGCTCAGCTTCGATGGGAGCTTCACTTCATCCTGCAAGACACAGAGCGGAGCCAGTGAGACACGCACCCAGCCTCGCCAGCCCCCGCTGCACGCTCCGTGGTGCTGCCGAGCACAGCGACAACTCACGGCCTGAACAAACCCAGGCAGCCTCCAACCCGGGCTCATCCTCTCCATCACCTGCTAAATGACTCCAAAGAGGATCAGCTCTGTCCCGCTGCATCTTATGGCTCTGCTGTATTCCAGCTCCCGTGCACCATTCTGCACACGCTGGGCTGGTTCCAAACCCATCACTCACCCTGGCTGGGCGAGAGGAGGCAGGCGAGCACCAGGGACTGGAGGCTTTTCCTTTCCTCCTCTGCCCCTGCCACAGCCCCGTCCCTGCAGCTTCATCCTCATCCCAGAGCCCCTGAATCCGACGGGCTCCTGGCTGCTGCTCAGATCCCCACACGCAGAGGCTGCTCTGCCCACAGCCCACGCCGCAGGACAGGGGCATGGGGAGGACGAGGCAGCAGGACAAGCCACGGAGAATCCCTAACCCTGCAAACAGCAGGGCAAAGCCAGAGCCTCCCAGTTGCTTCCCGCTGCACGCCATCCCTCTCCCTCGCAAGAAGCAAGTGGGACAGCCCAGGAATCCTGGCTGCTCGCCCCGAAAGCTGCACAAACCTGCAGGCAGGGCAGGGCAGAGCTGCCCTGCAAGGCACACGCTGCTGCTGCTGCGGCTCTGGGGCTGCATCTTCCCCCCCGCCCCAGGGCTCCTGCAGCAAAAGAGGGATGGAGACGGGCAGCAGGAGCCTGGGAGGAACTGCCAGGCATTATTTCTAGCCCTGCAGCTCACAGCTCAGCGTGCCGGAGCACAGCACACCTCCGCTGTGCACCTAAGAAGCTCCCAGCAATGACACTCGTGTGTGGGAGCAGAGACTGGGAGCTGGAGCCATCGAAGCACTGGGAAGCTGTCACGGAAAGCTCCCAAACCCAGGGCTCCTGCCTCATTCCTGCCTTTCCAGCCCTGATCTCTTGGCTGGGACCCCTCCAGGGTGAAGGATGTGAGCTGTGTCTGCCCGGTGGGCATACAGGCTGCAGCCACAGCTCTTACACAAGCTGCTGAAGCATCCACAGCCCCTCTGCCACGTTGTGCTCCCCTGCGCCTTCCCCTCCCCATCAGCCCAAATCCTTCTCGCAGCTCATCTTCTCCTCCCAGTTCTCCCAGTGCCCACCCCAGTGCAGTGCTGGGCTGCAGGTGGCAGCACAATCCAGCCCCGGGCACCCGGGCACGTCGCCCAGCCTGGCCTCGACCCCTGGGTCTGCGCTCAGCTTTTCCCAAGACCTGCAGGGATCCAGATGTGGGGCTGGGCCATCCCCCGGGACGGAGGCTGCAGCCCTGTTTTTCCCATTTCAGTGCTGGGGAGGTCGGTCGGGGCTCTGTCTGAGCCTGCATCCAACGGAGGCAGAGGCAACGGGTCCTGCGGCACAGCGGGGTTACGCGGTCTCTGCTGGGGCCAGGAGGCAAATTCATTCAGCTTCTCCGCTCCCCTGGGTCAGCCAAGTCCGTGATCCCCGTGGCAGAGGACAAGCGTGTGCCCAGGAGAGGCACTCGGGCCAGGAGAGGGGCACAGGTCTGGGGCGGGATTGGTTTTCATCCGAGCAGCACATAGCGTGCGGCCCTGCCGCAATGAATCACCTCGGTGTTCCCTGCGCAGGCTGGAAATAGCCCCTCACTGTACAAAGCCTCGCAGCTGCGGGGCTGCAGCCCGCGGCCCAGAAATTTATTGCCCGAGTTTGTTTTAACCTACGGAGCTGGGAGGGCCAGGCGGGGAGCAGCGAGCCGAGCGCTGCCAGAAAGCCAGCAGCAAGGAGGCACGGCTTGTCCTCACCCCCAGCGTGCACGGAGAGGAGTCTGCGGGGTTGAGATTGGGAGAAAACTCAGCGGGGCTGAGATCTGGAGAGGACTCTGATGGATTGAGAGCTGGAGAAGAGGACGGGAAAGGAGGACACCTGGGTGCCACTCAGCTCTGGAGGGGACAGGGGGCCCAGCACAACACCGGCTGTGGCCACTGCACCGCAAGCCAACGAGCCACGCGGAATGTCCAAGGGCCAGGACATCAAAACAGCCCCTGGGGACAGGTCCCAGACCTGTTTCTGTGCAGGTTTCTTCAGTGCTGTCTCTGCGCCAGCCCGGCAGGCTCACGGTGGCTGGGGACGTCGCGACCCCTCGTGCGGTGCCAAAAGGGACAGCGTGTTCGCACGCCACGCCGATGGAATGCGAACGTCGGATGTTTTCGGTTGTTTTCTCATTCTTCCCCCAAGAACAGCGCTGCTCCTTGGGCAAGCAGGTCTAGAAATGAGAGGGGACCTGAGGACAAGGGTGTGAATGGTGACAAGTCAGTGCCACGGAGCAGCTGGCTCAGCGAAGGCGAGCGGGGTCGCAGTGTCTGTGGTCAGAGTGCGATGCCTGGGGTCCCGTTCCTGGATTTTATTTGGACAGAAAGCTGCAGCGGACAAGGCTCTTCACCCCCCGAAACCTCGGCTCAGGTCTCAGCTGCTTTCTGGAGGTTAAGGTGACGCAGCCAACATGTGTTTTCTCCATTTGGTTCCCCGCTCCAGGAGAAAACAATGCCCATGCTCTCCAGAGAGCCGGGTCAGGCCGGAGTAAATTCCCACCGCTAGGAAGCAGGGACCACGTCCTCCACAACAACACCTGCTGGAGCAATCCCCGAGACTCGCGCAGCCCCTGGCCCCACGGAGCCAAGAACATCAGGAACTCCAGCACTTCCTTCCCTCCGTGTCAACACAATGAGCCAGAACAAAGGCATCCCCTGCTCCCCCTGGCACGACTGTCACTGGAAATGGGCCACATCCTGCGCGCTGCGATGCCTATCGGCCCCTTGTTAACTCCAGAGCATGTGCGTCCAAAAAGAAACACCAGCACAAAGCCCCCACGCCTGCCACGTCAGATAACCGCCTTCCTTGGTGTTGGGACCATCCAATTTTGTCTTCTCACTGAATTTTTCCGATGAACGGGTTGCAGAGGCAGCTGTGATGTCCCTCCCGACACCCACCGCAAGTTGCTCCCCTCGCGGTCCTGGCGGTTCCCCCTGGGCAGCCTTGCTCCGGAGCTGGGGTGAAGGTGCCGCTCTCGGCAGCCCATCCCATTGCATGCTGAGAAGAGCAGCTGCCTAATTCCCGAATTTGACCCTAATTCCCCCAGACCGTACCCATTTACAGCCCAGAGGTGCTGCGGACTCAGCCTCCGCACCTCTCTCGGGGCACCCTCCTGCTCAGTCTCCGCAGAGCTCTCTCCTGTAAGGAGAATCCCACACCCCAACCCCAACCCTGGGCCGTTTCCTAGAGCTCACCCCCAGCTGTGTTTGGGGAACCCTTTGCAATTCTCCCCCGTTCCCTTTCCAGCAGGGCCTGAAAATGAAGCCAGGGTGGCCAGGGGGCACCGTGCCCACTGCAGGGCCTTCAGGCCAACTTGAGGGCTCAGGACATCTTTTTTATGATTTCTGGTACAATTCCTACATTTCTTCCCCTTTCTCTTCTTCAGCCTGACCTGGTAGATAGCCAGCTGGAGGACAGCTGCTGGATTCTCAGCAGCGTTTCATTTGGGTCGCTTTCCCGACTTGACATCCCCCTGCTCCACACCGTGACAGCAGCGAGGGACAATGGGGATCTGCAGGAACAATCAGGAACCATCCCGGGTCCATGGGTGGCTGCCGCACAAATCCCTGCTCAGGGCAAGGCTCGGTGCTGCGTGCGCTTTGCTGCGCTCATGACCCATCCAGACGAGCCACATTTTTACCAGCAGGCATTCCAACCGCTCTATTTTTACTGGGAAAACGCTGACCCTTGAAGTGGGCGAGCCCAAAGCCCTGGCTCTTGGCATCCCTGTGCGTGGTGGGGTGTTCGTACGCCCCCTCCCCATCGCCAGATGCAAACCAACCCTGGTCTCTGAGGCAGCCTGAGGCCAGCTGGCACAAAGACAGCGGGTAAACAAGATTTCGCAGCAGATTTTTCTCCCGAGACAACAGAAATCCTCCCGCTCTGTGCACGCAGCACGGGTACGCCCAGCACCGTGCGCTGGTGCATGTGCTGAACCGAGCACCGAGCTCCTTCCAACCCGATGTGCTCCACGGAAAGGTTCAGCTCCAGCTCCGATTTGCCCGTTCCACTTTACTTGTCCCCCTTTACAGCCTGCCACCCCAAATCTGACACGTGTGGCCACACTGTCCCTTCAGCATGGAGCTCCCCGGGGAAGCAGCTCGCTTTGGGATGCTCCCTGCCCGCTCGCACAGCCCGTGGGACCGGCAGCCTGCCCGCCTGGAGACCCGGGGGCACCCAGGAGGGGCTCGTGCACCGTCCCCAGCTGGCTGCCAGCTGGCAGGGGGCTGAAGCTCTCCGTGTTGGTTCTGCTTCAAGCGGTTCCAAGCTGCTCGATCTCCGTTCTGCTCCTCTAAGTGGGCTTTTTTATCTGACTCGGTTTTGGAGCCCGAGTTCCCTCGCAGTGAGTCAGCCGCCGGCCCGTTCGGGCCCTGCACATTCCTCCTGGTTGCCACAACACAAGTAAACACTGTCCTTGTCACCCGCGGGGCAACGAGACACAAAGCTGAGCCGCGTTCCCAGCCCCGCCGAGCTCCTGGAGGGCTGCGGAATCGCCAACAGACCTGGGGAACGCTCCCGAAGCTCCTGAAGGGCCCCTGGATTGCTGTTGGATAGAGGCTCGTTTTATCAGCATGTAAAAAAAAATTAAAAATAAAATAAAAAAAAAGAGCCCCAGCACTCCCAGCCGGTCCGATCTCCAGTTCGGAGGTTTAATGGAAGGACTGAGGCATTTTTCACACGCGCATGCTAATCACATCTGCAACTCATTTCGTTCAGCTATTTTTACACAACTGCAAGAGCACACGGGGTTGGGTTTGGTCGACATGCAGCTGGAACATGCAGAACACGACCCGCTCGCATCCCCTCCCCATCCTCCTGTGACCAAAAGGGGCCGATCCTGGCTGGCGGTGGCTGAGCCTGGGCTTCCTGCA